GATTTAATATATGTTTACATAATTTTAGATGAAGTCTTTCAACAAGAGAGATATTACAAAATCCCCATACTTCACAGCTGTATAACAGAATTGGTTTCACTATTTTATCAAACATATCTAGTTTACAATCGATTGAAAGATGATGTTTTCCACATTTTCTAAGAACACCATACATTGCTTTTGTAGCTTTTTCATACATTTCCTTGATATTCAAATTGAAAGATCCACTTTTACTAAATGTTACTCCTAAATATTTAAAAATTTTCAACAATCTCCAATGGAACACCTTCAAAATTAAATGAAGTATTAGTATTTCTTTACCTTTACCAAATATAACAATTTGTGTTTTAGTACTATAAACCTTCAAGTGCCATTTTTTACAGTATTCAGAGAACATCTCAAGATCATACTGAAGATCTTCAGGGGATTCTGATAATAGAATAGTATCGTCTACATAGACTATAACATAAAGCCGTAGATATATATTAAGTTCATCTTCAATTTTCTCAGATTTTTCAGACCTTTCACATTTTTGTCAAACAAAAGTCCTTCAAGATCATTCAAATACAGTGCAAATAAAAATGATGATAAATTTTCACCTTGTCTTACTCCAACAGTACACGTAAACATTTCTGATGATATACTCCATTAACTACTACTCTTGATTTAATACCCTTATACAAATTGATTATAACTTTAAAACATTTGCCATCTATATTATTTAATAAAATTTTATTCCGGAGACCTAATCGCCAGACTGAGTCAAAGGCTTTCTCAAAATCTATGAAAACATAATGCGATTTCTTTTATATGATTTAAACAATTCAATAATTGTGCATAATGAAAAAATATGATCCAGAGTAGAGAAGTACAGAAGTAGCATTACTCAAGTTTTTTAAAAAATGAAACCAATGACATAAAAAAAATTATATGTAAGAGAGGAGTATGGAGGGAGGTGGAGGGGAATTAAAAAATAAAATAAAAAGTACAAAAAGATTACTGAACAGTGCAACTCTGCACTGCACGTTGTTGCTGCGCTGCAATGCACTAGCTTTGGAGTTAGTCTTTTAAAGAAGGGTGAGGATATTGTTCAGTGATCATTCTCAAAGTTCATCTAAACAGTACAAATTATGAGCAGATCCATCACGGATGAAAACAGAGGAGAAATCGGGCGCTATGGAGGAGTAATTATCCGCTGTCAACCGGCCATCCTCTGCATCTCCTTTTTCAGATTATATCTGCAAAAAAAAGTCATTGTGTCGACCATAAAATTTACGAAATGTTGACTTTCAACGAGATTGTTGACAATTCTTGTATCATCAACTCATAAATTTGTCAATAGCCTGCCTCATTTTAAAACTTATTCGGACGTAGAATATGTTCTTAAGGAATAACTGTCTATTTTTTTTTTGGTTTCATGATGTGATCAATAGATTGGCTTGCGTGATAATTTGCATAAACGCTGAAGGCGTTTATGCATAAAATTTGGAGACATAAATTCCATATGCAGTTGGTAATGGTATACATGTATTGCCAAATAAATACGGGAAGTTGACGATAGAACATTTGAAGTCATCTCGTTTATCATAAAAGTTTACTGTTCAGTTTGTCATTAACGTTTGTTCTGTAGCAACACGTCTAAATATGAAACAGAGGTGTCAGACTCAATGGAGTTTTTTTATTTCGAGTTCACTGGGATATATCGAATCAACTTAGGAATGAAAATCAGCGTTGCTACGTACCTGTCTTAAGTTTATGTTTTTCAAACTATGATCCTCGAGAAAATGAATCACTTCTTTGGTTTGTTACTGACTGTCTAAAGAAATATATCGGTTTGATCAATCTCAAGACGGCTAGGCTCCGCCTCGCCTGGGTTGAAAAAGATACGTAAATTATCTGGATTACACAACCCTCTCTGAGGCCTCATCATATAAAGTCACTTTGCAGATTCTGACCGGTATTCATATATATACGCATGTACGAGGGTTGTCCAAAAAGTTCGTGGACAAATGCTTAATTTTCATAATTAAGTCCGCAGTGGCAAATGTGTACGATAATATCTTAATATAGACCATGTTTTAGTAAATATATGTATAAAAAAAAAAATAAAACAATGCACACTATTTTATGAACATTATAGGTGTAAATACTTTGTATATGCAAGCCGTACGGACCAGTCTGACGTAACGCTAATTTCATTATAACGTCAAAAATATGGATTTTGAATTTTTATCACATGTTCATGGACACACGCTAATTTTCTTTATTATGCCACACTGCCAAGTGTGTGCAATAATATTTATATACAGACCATAATTGATTTAATTTTTAAAATTCAAAACAATACATGCTAATTCACGAGCGTCATCAATTCATATACACAGGTTGCACAGCTTAGTCCGACGGCGCTAAATTTATAACAACGTGATGAATAGGGATATCCTATTTTCATCAAATAAAAGTGATTTTCCACTTCTTGTAGTGTCTCCGAAATTTGAATAATTTCAAGTTGCTTGAATAAATTTTTTGTGTCTGACGTCGTTTCAACCATATTAAAACATAATTGTATAATTGGACTCTGTTCCGTGCGGATGGCCGACGTAGCTTTTTCTGTCAATTTTTGAAACATACTTCTTGCGGTTTTCGCTTAATATTCTCAATGTCTAATATTTAGAAAGCGATACTAAAGATATCAGAAAATGACGAAAGCCGCTTTATTTGCGACACATTTAAATTTTATTAAGCTTTGATTCGTTTTATAAAGAAAATAATCATTTTAATCAGAACACTTTATTAAAAAGTTTATGGCATTTTAACCCTGGTCCAAGCACACTATCGGCTACCTTTAATGACCGCGATTTTTACCAAAAATATTAAGTTTAAACAATCAAAACCAAACTATACTGACTTGGATTTTCATAACTAATATTTTGGTATACAATAAGTATATCTTGAATCATTCATTTTGACAAAACGCCATTGTCCACGAACTTTTTGGACAACCCTCGTACATTGTTGAATTTCTCATTTATATTAATTTAATTACTGTTTAACGTGATAATACATTAAATGCAAAAATAATTCACAAGAGAAGCAGTGCTTAGCACTGATTCCATCTTCCTATGACCTCGTTACCAGCATCCGCTCACACTCGGACAGTATTATACTTGTGCTCGGGATGGAATGGTCAGTTTAAAAATAGTGCACAGTTGGAATACAATTTAACAGGTTTTCTTTATTACGCTGTTCTATCTTATCAGAATCTTAATTAAATCTTAGTTTTACAAGTAAGTGAAACTTTCCGGTAAGCGTAGCTTGCAAAATGTTACCCTAACGTTATAAATCATATGGCTTTCATTTGACGTGACCACCCATTGTAAATAGCAGACACACTTGACACGCATTCAGAATATCCAAGGAGGGTAAAAACACAGAACGTTTACAAATGTGAAATATTCGATAATTATTGCAGATTCCCTATTAATCAAACAAACAACTGATATTATTTTGCTTGTTTAATTTGGCGCTTCTGGCCGCGGTGATCAATTTGCTGGGGCTACCACAGGGCTGCCCCACAATCAACAATCAATACAACAAATGTGACGACCCAAATCGGGCGGATCATGCACTGGGTAGGTCACAAGTGCATGAACGTCACCAATTCAATTATAAATCAAGTTCAATCAATAAATCAATAATCAATCAAGTTCAATCAATCAATCATCATTCAATCAATCAATTCAATATCAATCAAGTCAACTGCTTGTCAATTACAAGCCAATGCACAAATTCAAATCCTGAATTTCAATTTACATGTGCAATAGGATAAACAATGGAATGAGCGTAAGAATATGTGTTGCACTCCTCCAGTTGCGTTGAGGTGCGACGGAATACGCAAACACACAGAATTACCACCGCGACATCGGTTGAAGTGGACGCTGTATCAAGCAGGCAGTCATCACGGAATACGTAAACACACAGAATTCACCACCTTGACATAGGCTGATGTGGACGCTGGACCAATCAGGCTGTATTTACGGAATGAGCAAACACACAAAATTCACCATCGGCACATAGGCTGATGTAGGTGCTGGATCAAGCAAGCCGTCCCTACGTACATATAATATCCGAACACACATAATCCACCACCGCGACATAGGCTGTTGTGGAAGCTGGGCGAAGCAGGCAGTCTTCAGCTACAATGACATAACAAAAAGCAGCAGTATTTGTTCTAAAAACAAGAGGAGGGTGGGTGGGTAAAATTTAAAACATTGCCACAATTTAACTCCCAAAAATTTTCCATGACCTTACCGTTTAATCGATTCTTCCAGAAAGGAGGTAGAAAAGAACTTAATATTATTAGACTATATACAAATGGACCTAAATTATCCGGAATGATAGCTTGTGACTAAGGGTGAAAATTTATATTTATCCGAATGTACGTAACTTATCCGGAATAGATAAATATTACAAGGGTTACTGAAATAAACTCACTTATCCGAGACCAGGCTCGTATAAGTGGTATTATTGCAGATTCCCTATTAATCAAACAAACAACTGATATTATTTTGCTTGTTTAATTTGGCGCTTCTGGCCGCGGTGATCAATTTGCTGGGGCTACCACAGGGCTGCCCCACAATCAACAATCAATACAACAAATGTGACGACCCAAATCGGGCGGATCATGCACTGGGTAGGTCACAAGTGCATGAACGTCACCAATTCAATTATAAATCAAGTTCAATCAATAAATCAATAATCAATCAAGTTCAATCAATCAATCATCATTCAATCAATCAATTCAATATCAATCAAGTCAACTGCTTGTCAATTACAAGCCAATGCACAAATTCAAATCCTGAATTTCAATTTACATGTGCAATAGGATAAACAATGGAATGAGCGTAAGAATATGTGTTGCACTCCTCCAGTTGCGTTGAGGTGCGACGGAATACGCCACTTGCAAGGGCCATGAATACTCGTGTCTACCACGAGTAAGAATGGAACTGCAACCGCCACCAATGGGGGTGCCAAGAACCATGGTGACGGCGGCAGTACCTCAACGCAAATGGTCACCGTCGACCAGGGCCTGCTCATTCACCAATACAACTTATAAAACAAGTGACTTATCAGTCAATTACTATTCAATGCATTAAAACAAAATATGAATTTAAATCGTCAACGGTCATTCACCTATTCCGTTATAATTGTTTTAAGAAATGTCTTGAAATGCAATTATGGACTTGTGAGAATAAAATAACTCCCCGTTTAATCTAAAATTGTGGATCCATACCTGCACTCTATTCCCTGTCCCGTTGGTTTATTTTATCGTATTACTTACCTACTAGGTTGTTACTCCTGTTACGCATTTTTATGGCTTTTATAAAAATTTAAACTATCTTTGCAAGTATTGGTTATAGTTGTACTAAAAAGTGTGGAGTGTATCAGACCCAAATTGAACAAAAACGAGATATTTACGTCACCTCTCAACTTAGAATACTTTTAAAAACAATATTTGTGCCCTTAACCCTCCCCCCCCCCCTTCTCATTTCCCCAGCTGCATAAATCATATTTCCTCTTCACAATTTATCAAACAACTATAATCCATAGTAAAATTAAAAAAAAAAATAAATCATTGAAATGAAAGAAAGTAAAAATATGTGAGCCTTGTAACAACTACTTAATGGATGCCTAAACATGTACATTTTATAGCCAGCGTTTCAAAGCTAAAATAACCCCCCTGCATGTTGGTGGCAAATGTGCTTTAGCGGTTGCTCCCCAATTGTAGTGAATGAGATTTAAATTTTGTATTCTACAAATAATAAAACATATGGGTATGATATGCCGTATCCAATACTGACTAAACCTGCTCGAAGTTTCTCTGAAAAAAGGATAAACACGTTTTATGACTGGTCATGGAAGTACTTGCAACTACATTCGAATCGTTAAACTGTTTTAATTAAAAATAACTGCCAAGGCTTATTAATTTAATCATCACCTATTAAGTGTTTTAAAGTACGAATAATTTTAGTTTTTATATAACCTCATGCCATAAGGGTAGTTAAACCTATTTCAAACAAAAGGAAGAATACTTTATATCGCTATTACTTAACGTAATGAAACTCTTTTGCGTTGAAGGTAGGAAACGTTGATTAATAGCTGAGGACAATGTGCTATAGCTATTGACTACACTATGAGATCGATCACTGCAGATTTTTAAGGGACATATATAAGAAAGAAGCCCTGGTGAAATACCTAGCTAAATGTTCGTTGCACCACGCTACGAAATTAAAATGCTAGCTCTCTTGTGTTAATTTTTTGTGGATATTTCCCGCTAAGTAGACTATTCTAATAATAAGTTTAATCATTTTCTTTCTGATAAATGTTATTTTGGAAGTCTAAATATTCCGAATACTTTGACTTGCTTTCTGAAGTGCAACCATCGGCATTACATTGTACCTTCGGCATACTTATTGTTCGTATCATTCAATTGTCACTAGCGTAAACAATATATGTAAACAACATGTTATGCCCCGAAAATGAATGGAGATTTATAAGTTTCTTGACTTTATTGCAAACAGCCGCAGTAAGTTATACAATTCGAGGTAATTGCGATACTAAGTGTTCTGAGTATTCAAAAAATATCTGTAAGGGAGTAGTTTTATCTCTGGGAAATTTAGGTATAATCGTGGACCATTGTATATTACACACAATTATACATATATTTGGTAAAAATAAACAGAATGATAAAATTAGTCTCAAGGCTTAAATCCCCATTAGACACTGACATAGGTACGCAATAAAATAGATAAACACAATAAAATATCCGAGAAAACAAATTCTTGAGTACGTTGCAACTCTTTGTCCATGGGTATGTGCGGTGGAAAAAAACTGGTATACTTTATAAGCCATACTTCTGGACATATCTTGGATATCCCTTAGCAGATTAGCTTAAAATTGAATGTCAGTGTACCTTTAAAAAAATTACCAGTTTATTTGAAATATGCCCCCCAACCCTTCACACAAAGACTCGCTTAACCAAATTATAATTTTCCCTAGAATGTAATCTAATAGCTGCGATTAATTGAAGCTGGATTAGGATCTATATCATTTGCCAATTCCACTTTTATATCTAGTATTAGCACAACTGCAACATTTCCTACTTGTTTCTTTTTTGCAAATCTTTAATTACTATTCTAATGAATTACTGGGGAAGTGATAAGGTCATGCTTTGATGGAAAGGAATGTTGTGCCCATTGCAGCTGTTGACTCACTGATAAAGCTGTCTTTAAAAAATAAAATTAAAAATGTTGACCTATTTTTGGTAATGTACCTGAAAATAAATAATCATGGTAACATGATCTGTAATCACTGTCAATTACTTAAGGTTTTTTATGTACTTACTCCCTTTTGTACCAATATAATTTGCTCCTTGCTTGTGTCTGAACCCTGCAAATTTGCCTACCTATTCTAATGCATATGAAGAATACTTTTCCACAGCTTTGCTGCAGTTTGACTGCTCACTGTGAGACAAATGCTTGCAAAATTAATAAGAAATGTTTTCATCCTATTTCAATAAACTGTGATTTTGCCTTCATTAGTTGGATTTTTATGCAGAAATTGACCATGTGGACCAAATGAGCTCCCATATGTTGTGTAACATAATATACAAGTTAACTCCCATCCCATTATGTAATAGGAAAATCAGTTCATACAATATCATCCATAAAACCTTACACCTTTTTGTTTTCTTTAAAAAAAAAAAAAAAAAAAAAAAAAAAAAAAAAAAAAAAAGGGAAAAGATAACAAACAGTACTGTTCCAAACCTTTTCAAAAGACCAACAAACAAATGAAATGATACAAGTCTGCAAATAGAGCATAACACTTAAACAATTTAATAAACCTCCTCTCAGTACACACAGTACTTTGATTACTTAAAAAAGTGAAAGTGCACAAATTCTCGTGAATGCTTTCTCCGATTTAAAGACGATTACATTTTGTAAAATGCGAATCAATATACCTCCTTCGAGCTCGATAAATCTATGTAGAAAACAAACTAAAATCCTTCTAGTAAGCCCAGCTTCTGAGAATATTCCGTGTTTTATGAAATTATCCCCCCCCCCCCCCCCATTATAGCTATGATGGACTCGAAGTTTAACATTTCGCTCCTAAAAATAATAACTCAAGTTACACAATCATTTGACCCCCAAACTGATCTTAATATATTCCTGTTACCTGTAAAGTCTCACAAATTACAATATCGCGTAAAATCAATTCAATTTACGAAAAAGTCCAATCAGGCCAAATCCAAAGTCAAACTTCGCCATCGATACGTCTAATTTGCTTTGAAACTACAAACCTCAATAGTTATACTAAAAATCCAACTTATTTGATTTAAAAAATTTAAAACATTGCCACAATTTAACTCCCAAAAATTTTCCATGACCTTACCGTTTAATCGATTCTTCCAGAAAGGAGGTAGAAAAGAACTTAATATTATTAGACTATATACAAATGGACCTAAATTATCCGGAATGATAGCTTGTGACTAAGGGTGAAAATTTATATTTATCCGAATGTACGTAACTTATCCGGAATAGATAAATATTACAAGGGTTACTGAAATAAACTCACTTATCCGAGACCAGGCTCGTATAAGTGGTAGTAGTTTTAATTTACTCCTTACATTAGTTTTTCACTAACCATAATGATCACTTGATTGAGATCTCTAGCTTTAGCATTTATCTTTGATGAAAATATCTTGAAATGGTCGATGATATCTGCATTATTTGCCCCTATGTGTAGCTTAATCCATATTTTGACTGAAAATTACTAGTAAACAACGAGAATTCGGAAACAAGTTACAAAACTTGTACTAATCCATGTCCTTAATATTTGATACGGATGTAGATGACAGTCCCTTACTAGGTAGCACAAAATAAATACATGTACGGGTGTAGGCGGTTGTTAATAATACCTGACAAACAGGTTCAGTAGAGCAGAAAATTGCCGATGTCGACATATACCAGGTAAATTTTGCTCTTGGGACTGTGAATATACGTCGAGATAACCCAGGTTGTCGACATTACCGAGGTCGACATATCAGAGTTTTTGCAAATCTTTTATATAGTAAATCCTGCCGGGACCGCGGAAGGATGTCGACATATCCCAGGTTGTCGACATATCCGATGTCGAGATACCGAAGTTTACCTGTACGGGTGTAGGCGGTTGTTAATAATACAGGGAAATAGAGTATGATATTACTCTTGTATGTACCATTTGAATCAGAAAATTTTAAAATGTACGTGGAATATACGGTAAGTAGTTTTATACTCCTCACGTAAGTTTGTCACTAAATACATACGATGAATGGTTCTGAGTCAAAAGATTCTAGGAAACCACGGTGACCACTCGATTTCCTGCTATTTCATTTCATATTTCATATTTCATATCATTAGCATTTTGAAGCACAAGATTATTTTTTTGTTGAATCTGTCAATTATCGTATACACCTTCCTATGTTGTGAATTATTTTAATAAATCCTAATTAAAAATCTTGAAATGATCGTTTCCAACAGGTGTACTTAGTTTAAACCATATTTTATCTGAAAATAAATTACTAGCAAAGAAAAGAGTGTTTTAAATTTAAATTTAAATCTGTTTAAAAAAAATATATGTTCTAAATCGATTTTTTTCGTTTTATGAGGCGATATATTAAAATTTTGTTTCACTATTTTTCATTCATAACTTTAAACCCTTTTAACTTCAAAATATTTGATCTAAAAGATATTTCAAAACATTATCAAAATCTTTACAATTTTTTCTTTAAAACTACAGCATTTTAAGATGATATTATCACCGATTTTGCACCATTTATTTTTTATTCAAGCTAAAGGAAAATACAGCTGATGTATGTTGAGACATTTCTCAATGATCTTTTCGGGAAAATTGTCAAATAATTATTATATTAGGCAACACACAAGGATATTAGTAAGCAAATGCTTAATGACTATTTATCACTGATAGACTGCGTTTGACCCATGTGACATCCCTACAATGAATATAGGTGTGGTGAATGACCACGCTTACAAGTGTATGTTTCAAATGAAATCCATTTTAATATTCTCTCTCTGCAGGAATTCATTTCCATTTAGGTATTCTCACAATGCTTACGCATTAATTCCATCCCATGCGCTATTATAGAGTAAAGGTTGCCCCTTGCAGAAATTCCCCGGGGAAGACTTACAATAAAGCAAACATTCCCCCAGGTCATTTACAATACAGCAAATCTTCGGAAGACTATATTGCGACCCCCAAAGAATTTCCCCATTATATTGCATTCCTTCCTATTATAGATTACTCTTCCATGAAGAGGGCAGATATAAATTCTGATCGCATCCAGGTACATGCAGTAAATTGAAATTTTTGAAGATTTTTTTTTTTAATCTTGACAAAGATAATACAGTGTACCTAATACTTTGCTATTTTCATCTTGAACACGTTTCTTTTTGCAGTTCCTTTCTCGTTTTGCTGGTTGTCAATTTTGCTGATGGTTATGGTTCGTTTCGCGACAAAATTCCAAATGGTCGAAATGTTCCTCATCCATGTGATCCGACAACAACATGGGGAGGTGTTGGACACGAGGCACAGGGTGGGGGAGGCAAACGAAATCCATTTGGTCTGGACTTCAACAGAGAAGGAAATGTAAACGTTTAATATGATAACTCCTACAAAAATATACATATATATCAAATATTAACGGAATATATGCCTTCGCTTACATTTCATCTTGAAATCTACATTAGCGCTAAACTGTTCAGCAAAGCAGCGTTGATGGGACTGTATATGTAATCAGCATTTGGGCAAATGACACCCTCTTAGTTTATCTTAAAAAAAGAAAAGAAAAAGGAAAGTAGAAATGAAAATACATGCACAGTACATATATCTATTAATATCATTAATTATATCGATCAGCTGTTTTGATCTGTGACTTTTTTCTAATTCCGTTAATTAAAATATATGACTATGAAATCTGATGATAATATTGAGACGTAGATGAACAGAGAAACACCGATAAATCTTCTGCGGACATTTTATGGCATTCGTACAACTTCTTCGGCGCATTAAGTGATATAAAGCTTGAAATCTCTATTCAGCTTAGCTGGAAAATGGCAGTTTCTCTTTGAATTTAAATGTATTTTTCCTCAATCAGAAAAAGGGGGTGACATTTTTTTCTCTCTTTTTTTCCTCAAGACATGGACTTCTGTACTTTGTCAAAAGGATTCGGATGGCGATGGTAAGACCAATGGGCAAGAATTGGGAGATCCAGATTGCGAGTGGACACTAAACAATATACCAAAATCAGTAGTGGGGCTGTCCCACCCTGGTAAGTCTAGGGAACGTCAAAATGACTTTATATCAATGCTTTTGGTTTATTTGATTAAAAGAAAAATATCAAGTAAATACAAGAGGTAAAAAGGAATATAATTTTAAAACTATATCCCATCACTATTGCACAGCTCTATACTAGCAATGGAGGTATACCATCGTGGTACAGTAGAAAAAAAAATCAGAATTATATATATATATATATATATATATATATATATATATATATATATATATATATATATATATATATATATAGATATATATATATATATAGTTCTGAGATATATATATATATATATATATATATATATATATATATATATATATATATATATATATATATATATATACAAACTTGAAACATTCACAGTGTCCTGTTTTTATATAGATAAAATTAAAAAAAAGAAAGGCAACACAGGTTAAAACGTTAGCGCTTTCATTATTATTTTCTGACGTTTTACAAATACATAATAACGTTTTCTTGACTGTAATGTCTAACAAAACTATTAATACTTTAAAAATCATTATCTATAATTGAATCTGACAGCTAGCTATAAAATGCTTGCAGTAGGTTCACACTTTTGAAACCAAATCCAACATGTGTTAATATTACTAATTGAGAACATGGGAAGGTTATACTCTGTGTGAAAGTTTTGTCAGAAATCAAGTTAAATCAAACTGTTAAGACTGGGTTTAAATTTTTGAATGAAATGTTTTTCTTTTTCTCTTCTTTCAATTATATTGTCTCTAAAAAGTTTTTAAAAAGGAAATACTTTAAATTGTCCGTGTCCGCATATATCTATATGTTCGCTGAGTTTCATCTTGCGGTACTCGGGGACTTGAATGTGTTGTTTATGCACCCGGATTCTGGCTCTCAATGTTGTCCCCGTTTCACCTATGTAGAATTGGTAAAACTTTTCTGCGCTTTCATTGATTTTAAACAAGCTTTTGATACGGTTTGGAGATTTGGATTGTGGCATAAGCTATTTAAGAGTGGGGTTAGTGGAAAATGTATTAACTACATCAAAAATATGTATATAGGAATTAAATCTATGATAAATCTGAATGGCACAATCACAGATTATTTTAACTGTAATGTTGGTGTTCGCCAAGGGTGAAAATCTATCCCCTTTTTTATTTTCCTTATATATTAATGACCTGGAAGAGTTTCTCTCGGACAGAAATATTATTGGTTTACAAAGCATAACTGACGCTACTGAAGAAGAATTATATGTGTATCAGTAGTATAGTGGGGGACATTTCGTGCTAATTTGAGGAGCTACCAAATTTGAGGATCCTATGATAGATCAAGTGTATTATACCAGGATAACAAGATAAGGAAGCCAAAAATCGGATATGAATAGATCAATAAAACGAGAGTTTTAATCCTTTTAACAATTTATTCCGTTCATCAATACATAGAATTAATATTTACATATTAAAATACTTTTACACCTGGTATTTTTAGGGACCATTTCGACAGATGTCGTGCAATGTTAAATCGTCGGGGTTTATAAGAACAAGTTTCATTGAATTAATTTATAAATATGTATTCTAAGAGTATGTATGAAGGGTAATAAAGTAAGGGGAAAATATATTTTCTATATGTTCTGATATGAGGAGGCAAATTTGATATTTTCTTTGTAAAAGAATGAACACAAAAGATTCTACCCAATAGCTCTGGATTAATATAATGCAATGAAAAAGATTGTTAGATTTTTAGGTGATGATACAATAATTAACGTTCCTTATGAGGATCGTAAGGGAGAATGGATGTTAAGGGCTGTGGACAGATGTCGTATTCAGAGACGGATCGATAATCTATCACAAATCCTCGAACCAATACTTGAGAAACATTTAGTTTCATATAGATTAAGATACTCGTTCAAACGTTTAACGATAAAACAATATTAAATTGAACTATATAGAATTCAGTCCCATTACAAATGAAATAAATAAAAGTCAGAACAGACCCCAATATATTATATATAATTAAGAAGAGTTTTCCATTTAAGGTATATCTAAAATACATGCTAGATTAAAAATATGTAAAAGATGTGTATCAATGCAGTAAACATGATTCGGAAGGGATTAATGTTCATGAGTAAAGTGTGATTGTATTTTATTATTTCACATCCTTGTTTGATTAAAATCAAACTTAATTATTACACGTTTCATTTGACAAACTTCCGTTTGGTCATTATTATACATGTATAAGATGTAGTCACTTGATCGTTATAAACCAATCGGAAAAATATTTGGAAATGAAAGTGTTCCGATTTAAGATCTTTAAGTTTCTATTTAAATATATGTACATTCATTAAGCTAAGAACTTATCAAAACATGTCTTCTACACCGAAGAGTCTACATCTAAGAAACGAGTGATACATTCTAGCGTGTATATTAAGCAATGGCGAACGTAGAGTTGACGTACGAGAATGGAAATAACGGAAAATCGTCAGTTCCCTTCCAAGAAAGGCATCAGTTTAAACTTGCAGCTATTTAAAAGTCTAACGCTTGCAATTGATATGGTCCACGCAGCCTTGAACAAGAAAGATCTCCACTATCACATCCGTGCTAATATTTTCTTGACGGTAAAAGGAGACTACCAGAACTGTTGAAACGACTACTTACGAAATGTGTCAAATATTCTTTTTATGTGAAAACTGTACAAATCGTGTGTGACAATCATACCTTTTTATGTTTTGTAAACCTAATTTTTTTACTTTGTGTGTAAATTCGTATTAAGTATATGTAATCTAATAAATATATGTATCAAACACAAGTCCATGATTTTTGTTACATCATCATAACTCACCACCGGAATGCGAATAAATTACAAGCCGATTGTTGACAAAGCGTTGTGTATCAAGCAAATGGCGAAATTTGATCTGAAAGTTTTTTAAAACGTCAGTAGATTTGTAGTATGAAGTCTTCTACAAAGTACCATCTAGATATAAAGATCTGGACATTAATATATGTACATGATAAATTAATGAATGCAAAAACAAGAAAGTATAAATCAATAAATAGTTAGTGCAATAAGGATTTTCATAAATGTAAATTGCGGAGTAGAACTTTATTAAAACACTCTCTCTTCCCTCCTCGTCTTTGCTGCGTTGCGTATACTCCCAGTCACCGAACGATGTCGATCACGAACCAAAACCTTGCTATCTAATAGATGGTTATTTGAATGAATTAAGCATGCTGTTTTGCCCCTATCGAATCAATAAGAGCACCGGAACTGGTGATGAAAAACTGAATCAAAATGTGTGTAATATCCAAAAATCTTTAAATATATTTTCATGTTCGTGAAACTCGTGGAAAGGTTATCATGTATATACATATGTAATTAACAATTAAATAAAATGATTATTCATGTTCATTGTTGTGTAGCTTAATTATGATTCATTTAGGATATATAAGGTACTCACTGGGTAGTGTCTATAACTATATTTGAAAGATGAAACGTTGTTTACCAAGGAGATATGAATTGTGTTATCAAATTCGCACAAAATCGCATGGGCGATATGATGCACGTACATTTCCAAGTGTGAAATTTCATATAAAAATAATAGGAGGCAAATGTTTGAACTTTTCAAATAGATAGATAAATTGCAATGGGATTATGCGACGATTTTAATATCGGTTAATTTTTAAGACTCATCTTTATATAAACATGATAAAGAAAAGGGGAGGATGGTGTGTTTGTGTGTGTGTGTGTGGGGGGGGGATATAACTTTTAAAAACTCTCTGTTACTTTCAATTAAATTTATCTGCAGAATAAAATATATTTTATTTATATTCTACATGTATATGAGAAGTACAAGTCTTGGTACGACCAAATGAAGTTAGTATTGAAATCTCAAGACGTGGAAGGTTCGCAGACAAGGGAAGAATTGTATTATCGCTCCACGTATGATATGCACAAGAATCTGTTCTCTACAAAATTAGAGGCGCTATCAAATAAAGACGTAGTTTTTTTTTTAAAACTCTTTTCTTCATAGGATGACGAAGATAGAAAAGCATCCAAATATATTTATTTTCTTTGTATGACGTCACATTTGTCGATCACGGAAATGATCTATTCGGGATCTGCCCATTTGTTCACGCCACGGACTTTCTTTCGTATAGTTGAAACGAGTAAGGGCCCCGACACCTTGAAAATATGGATGGAGACAGGAAAGAGTTAGTAAGCCAATCGTATAAAGATTCGAGGTTTAAAAACTGGTGTTTTATATACGAATTGAGAGATCGGGTCCTAGAAGAAACATTTAGGAGAGATATGCATGATCTGTACGAATATGATATGGCGATCATTCAATATATCATTTGGAGATATTACCTTCAATCTTCAGGGGAAATAATAGCGAAGGGATATATGAGATTAAGAAAAAGGAGGAATAGGGGCACAGTTTGGAAATTTTTTGCACCATTGTGGATGTTTGAGGTAGAAATATACCAGGAGCGCTATTGCAATGGTCATACAATCATGAAACAGTATCTCAGATCAGGAGACAGAGACGATGACTGTTGTCATGTTGAACTTGGAAACTTCTACGAACACTGTTCACGTGTATGGATCCCTAAATGGGTCATCAAGAAAAGGTCTATTCAAATTGATAATTGTTTTATCTGTTTGAAAGACAATACAAAAAGTTCCTGGATTTGTCAACGCTGTCATCAATATCCCTGCTGTCTACAATGTAAGAAATACATGCAAATCATAAGAATTCAATCCTGCCCCGTTTGCCGCTATCGTAGTGAATAAACACAAACTAACCCTCTTTACCACTAATCCGGATAATCCTTCTTTTGTCTTTCTCTTGCTTTCGGACAGCAAAAGAATATGTTGTTTGAACGCCCCACACAGATATTATACTACTTCTGATGTACCATTACCGAAGAGGTTAGCGTAATAATATATGACAAATTTCCACAGGTTGTACTTTACATGAAACACTATGAATTGTCGAGCTCAAATCGTGTGTACAC